TCCGCGCAGGGTGACACCAGAGACCACCCCGAGCCGCGGGAAGGGGACGGCGCTCACCTCCTTCTGGCTCACGTACAGGTAGAAAGTCTTCCCCTCGAATTTCATTTTGGTCACCTCGTTCCTGCAAGGACACGGACAGAGGGGTGAGAGGCTGCGCCCAACGCTCCCCAGCTCACGGCCATGGCGCTTACTGGGAGCTGCTGGTCACAAACTGGGGCCGTGGGGGTGGCAGCGGCGCAGCTCCCAGCCCTCATTTCCCATCTGTGGGGCACCCCAGGTTGGTGTGGGCAAATAAGGAATTTGGGGGCAAGGAAGCGAGCAGGGCCCCGTTGAGCGGTGCCGGGGGAGCTCACCACTTGATGAAGTGCACGCGCTTGTTCCCCTGCAGAACCACGAAACCGAAGGGGGTGAAGGCCAAAAACGCCGCGTTCCCCGACACGTCCTGGAGGAAAACACCGATTGCTCGGGTTAATCCCAAGGAATAAATAGGAACATGTTTTCTCTCAGGGAAAACCATGGCACGGGGCGTCCTGTGCCCAAAATCTTCCCAGTTCTGGGGTACAAATCTTTGGGGTTTTTCCCAAATTTGGTGAAAACTGTGACGAGCCGGGTACAGGCCAGGTACATTCACTGCAATTGTGTGGTGTAATTTCGTAAAAAGCCCCGGGGAGACCCAAAATTCTCCATCTGCTTCGCATCCCGCACCCATCTGCACGCGATGGGATTATCGGGGAGCAGAGAGCACCCAACGCAACCACAGCTGCATCCAATAAAACGCATTTCTAACAGAAAAGTGGATTACTGGGCAGAGGCAGAGCCTGTCTCAGGCAGATTAATGCTCCGGACACGCTACCGACCTTGTTCCTGCCTCCAAAACCACGTGTTTTTAGCAGCAAATGACCGTCCACTGCCTTTTGCAGCTTTCTGTCCTCCCTAAACACCCCCTGGAAGGGCTTTGCAAGATGCGTTTTACCTTGCAAGGGTGCGGGTCGACCCCGTAGGTCTCCAGAGTCTGCGCTTTCCTGAGGAAATTCAGCTCTGAAGTGGCTGGAGTCTGCCCACTGCGGGGAAAAAAGGGGGAAAAGGGGATATTCCGTGGGAAATGTGATGGTGGGAGTCAGCCTTGGGGTGACCAGAGCCAGCAGCCTCCCAGTACACCCATTAGCACAAGCCCAGGCTCCCAGTATGTTCAGTAGCCCAATCCCAGGTTTCCCAGTACACCCATTAGCCCAAGTCCAGGCTCCCAGTACACCCATTAGCCCAACCCCAGGCTCCCAGTACACCCATTAACACAGCAGGTCTGCAGCTGGAGACCAGCACCAAACCCCAGCCCGATCCCCTGGACCAGCAGCACCCAAATTCGGGAGCATCTGCAGCATTTTGGGCTGGGTTTCCTATTTCCTTAGGAATTTCTTCAGGGGGGAGGAAAGGGGGATGTAACGGGCAGGAGGCAGCAGCCCCAGCACACAGGGGGAATCGATGGGGGGTGGTCACTGTCCCCATCCCACCGGGTACCACCAGGGACCCCTTGGGCTGAGCCAGGAGCAGGAGAGACCCCTTGGGTACCCCTGATTTGGGCTGAATTTGCCTCAGGACCCGATCACCACATTTTGGGTGTATTTCTGCATTTCTCTGCACTTTTCTGTGGCTCATCCTGAGCCGCTCAGCCACATCCCCCTCAGGGAGGGGAGGTTTGGGGACGCGGCCGCTCCTCTCGCAGGGCGGTTTGTGGTGATGCCTTTGCACCACCCAACACCTCCCTTCCCCGCAGCCTATTCTGCATTTTTGCCATCACCAACTCTGCCCAGAGCACCCCTGGGTCCGACAGAGCAGAGCAGCGAGCGCCCAAAAATCCCAGACGGGGATAAAAATCAGTTGAGCATCAGTGATCCCGATGGCAGCCGATGCTCCAACCGTACCTCAGCTCCGACTTATGGATCTCGGCGATTTTCCTCTCCAGCTTCTCCGAGTGCTTGGGGAAGAACTGGAACTTGGAGCTGTAGCCCTCGGGGTGCTTCCCCGGGTCGTAGTCCCCAATCTCGGCTGTGGGGACACAGAGGGGATCAGGACCACGGCGCCCGTCCCCATCCCGGCAGTGACCGGGCACGGGGTCAGGGTTTGGGGCACCCCGGGATCGCTGCTCCCACCCCGCAAGAGGCTGAGCACCGCACATGGCGTTCGCTCTTCCCCTTCCCAATGGGGTGGGGGAGAGAATCGGGAGAGTAAAGAACTCATCAGTTGAGATAAAGACTAATTAATAATTAAAATAATGTAAAATAAAACGATTAAAATAATAGTGATGAGCTACGGCAAGAACAGGAACACCCACACTAAAGCGATCACAGCTCTCAGCTCACAAACAGCAGTCATGGCCATACAGCAACAAAAAGGCGACAAGGAGGGGGTGAGCGTCAGGAACTGAGATGGGATTCAGGCTGGACGAGGAGGGATGGGAAAAGAAGGGGCTGAAAGGAAGAAGAGTCACCCCAAAAAACTCCGTTTATAGCGAGTGTGACATTTATGGGACAGACACGTCTTTATTGATCCGCTTGGAGCATCCATCCTGGGTCCCCTGTCCCCAGAAATCCCGGGCTTTCGCTCGAGAGATGGGGAAAAAAAAACCCCAAAAGAGACTTTGAACACAGGGGAAGGTGAAAGAGTGAAAAACAGACCTTGAAAAACGTAAACCCTGGTGTGTTACCAGTACCAGCCCCAGCACAAACCCAACCCATCCCTGCAGAACCAGGGCGCTCCCGTTAAAGGCATTACCTGTGCCCATTTAACATCACCGTTTGCTCGGGGATCACGCAGCAGAGGGTCGCTGTCCCCAATTCCTCAATTCCCCATGCAATTTAGCAGGAGATCCTGGGACCCACAGGGGGCTGGGGCGATGGCAGCCCCCAGGGTACCCCCATACCCACCCCAGGACCAGAGCAGAGCAAATTCTGCTTGCTCAGCGCCTCAAAAAGCTGCAATTAGTGGGAAATCGGCAAAGGGACACTGAGAAAAGCAGCAGCGCCCCAGGCCCAGCTCCGTGGCTGGGGTCCCTCTGGGATTTGCAGTTAATTTGGGCAGCTCCCACCCCTGGGGACGAAAGGACCTCGCTCCCATTTAATTCGCCCTGAGCAAAATGCAGACGTTACGTTAATTTTCATGACTCCAGCTAAAAACTCTACAAGGGGGGAACCACACCGGTGTAGCGAAATAACTCAGAAGTGCTTCGGAGCTGAAATTTGGCCTTTTTGGTTGCTGGGGCGCAGGTCCCGGGGTCACAACTGGACGCACTGGGGACACTGGTGTTGGAGGCGCAGCGAGCCGCTGTGTGTGAAATGACACCATCATCTCCCGTCAGGAACAGCAGATTTCTCCTGTCCGAAGGCCTCACCTTGGAGGATGTAAGCGGCCAACAGCGCCGCGTCCGACGTCTTGCAGAGCAGGCGGCCGTGGTACAGGTCCCGCTTGATCTGCAGGAAGACCAGATACCTGCGGCAGGAGAGAGCCCGTTCGTTAGCGGAGCTTAATTACCTGAACGGGCAATTTAGGTGTGCAATGTCTGCCACCAGATGTGGGTACTAACACCTCTCTCCGAGCCGCCCATTTCCCAGGCATTACGGGAGCCAACGCGTGCTGATCACCGGGGCGCGGATCTGCACCTCCCATTACCCCGTAGTGGGGTTTTTCTCCTTCCCCAAATTTCTGCACCCTCCCAGGTCTCTGCATCGCCCCCATCACCCCCCTCCGTGCTCACCAGTGATGCCAGCATCACCCACAGCTGCCTCTTGTGCTCACCCATCTCTACCCCCATGCACCAAAACTGAGTGAAAAGACAAAATATGGTGGAAAATTACATGTCTGAATGAATTACATCTCTGAATAAACGACACGGCTGAATAAATTTAAGCCCAAGGAACAGTTTGGGCTGAATCACGTGGCCACGCGTTTGGGAAAACCTTTTGACGGCAAAGCGTGAGCGACAGAGGGAAGGAGCAGGATGGAAACCGGAGGGCTCAGAAATGGGTTTGAAATAACCAGACTTGCACTCAGCAATATCGCAGTCGTGCTCCGTTACTCAAATCCGTATTTACCAGGAGGTAAACCCTCTAATTTTCACAGATAAAACACATTAAAGAGAAATCCCGATACTGAAGTGTGCGGGTCCGGGGGAAGGTGAATGTGGGGCTGCTGGGGGTGAAGGCAAAACATGCAGAATAAATAAGTAATACCTAAATAAATGCCATTTAGGCAAAAGAGGGGATGTACCCATGTGAAACTCGTCCTGGGCACCTCTCTGGGTCCTCTAAAATGTGCCTATACCAAAAACCAGATCAATCCCAACCATGCACTCATAAATCGCCCAGCAAACGTGCGCAGGGCTCCTCACAACGCCTTCCTCTGCACCTCCCGTCTAAGGTCAGACCCGAAAACCCAAAAGCTCCTCAGGCCTCCAAACAGCACCTTAAAGGGGTTTCTAGTTTTGGGTTTTGGGTCCTCCTGTGAATCATGAGCAAAGCTTTCCTCAGTTTTGTGCACTATGGTGGGGAACACGAACTCCAGAAGGGTTTTTGGGACCCCCCTCTCCTCCCTCTCCCTGGTCTGCCCAGCACAAACACATTTATTAATGCACAGCCGGAGTTTTGCTGAGCCCGGGTATTCTGCAAAGGCTGCGTTAGCTCAGACACCCCCTCCTGCAGGAATAGACCGAAAACCCCAGGAATTAAATCCCAGGGTATATTTAGCTCTTGGTAAAGCCTGCTTAACTCTCGACAGGCGCAGCACGGACCCCGGCTCTTAATTGGGAACATGCAGCAGAGCGGGGTCTGTGCATTTTGTCCCTGTTTGGGCAGGTAAGGGGGGGTCCCTTCTCCAGGGCTGGGGATGCCAAAGCGCTGCTCGTCCCCCCGCATCACTGCGCCTGCTGTGCGGGGATTTGGGGGAGCTGCAGGGAGGGGTACACGTGGGTTCTGCGCTGGGATGTGGTACCCGAGCTGCGATGTGAGCAGTGGTGAGCAGGGCCGTGCTGGGGGCAATTTGGCCTGGAAACATGGGTTTGGTGACTGGGCACAGCCTGGAGCTGGCTGGGGGTTAACCCCACGCACCGCAGCTCCACAGGCTCACAAAGCCTGGGTGGGGATCTCCAATTTCCACGCTTTTTGCCCCAGAAATGCTCAGGTTGGTCTGGAAATCTAAAGGCTCTTGGCTCCCCTTGCCTGTACAACGAAGCTCGGTGGAGCACGGTCCTGCCTCGGCCAATTCCCCACTGTCCTCTCCCACCACACCGACACCCCATCCTCATCCTCACCTGGTGATCTCCCCACCTTTACCTGGTGATCTCCCTGCCTTTACCCAATGATCTCCCCATTCTCACCTGGTGATCTCCCCATCTTTACCCACTGATCTCCCCATCCTCACCTGGTGATCTCCTCCTTCAGCGCTGCGGGGTCGGTGGGGTAGAACTTCACACGGAAGCACATGGTGAAGGGCGGCTGGGCTGCGGCGAGAAGAGCGACGCTGCCATCACTGAACAGCAGGGGCTGTCCCCATGGTCCTCCCAAATCACCACCTCAGGGCTGGGGTCTCACTTGCCCCCCATTACCCCAAACACATCCCAATATTCCCTGGCCAAGGCAGTGGCACCAGTGGAGGAGGATCCTGCTCTCCACTCAGCTTTGTGGATAAAATGGGGTTTTGGGTTTTTTTTTAGGGGGAGTTTTGCTGGGAGTTGACCCCAGAGGGGCAGCACTGGAGAAAACAGAAACAGGTCCCAAATGTGTCTGCGCTGGCAGCAACACTCACCCCTCATCTGCTTCACAACCGACTTGGTGAACTCCAGCCAATGCTGCAACGACAAAGGCGGCAATTAAAGCATCTCGGTACCCAACCCCACCGTGACCACCCAACCACGTCCCCAGGTGCCACATCCACATGGTTTTGGAGTGTTTTAGTAAATGCTCACGAGGGAAAAGCGATGATGCTGTCAGGGTGCCCATAGCCCCTTCACCCTGCAGCAGGGGCAGGGAGCATCACTCATCACTGCCCAAACCGAATTTTATTGCAGCCACGGCCTCACACCCCGGTTCCCAGCAGGGACCAGTCTGCCCCAAACCCCACAGGGGGCTCTGGCTCTCACCCTCTGCTTGTCGGGGTCCACGAAGCGGATGCCGAAATAGTCCTTCTCCAGCAGGTTCAGGTGGTGGCACAGGAGGTCGAACAGGTACTGGCCCTTGGCATCTCTCTGCAGGACGAAGCAGCCCCGTTACCAAGCAGAGATGAGGAGATGGGGTACAGGGGGTGGGTGAAGGGTCCCAAACCCCTCAGGTGACCCCAGGGATGGTGCAAATCCCAACATCTCCCCCCCTGTCCCACCTGTGAGAGCTTCAGCTTGGAAAGCATCGCCCATCCCACCCAAGGGGCAGCACCCCATAACTCACCGGTCCCCATCCCCGTCCCCATCCAGGGACCTGCAGCTGGCGCCGGGTGGGATGCTGAGGTTTCCTAGGGCTCCACAGAGACCACAATTTTGGCCAAAACCCACATGTTTTTGGACAACAAATCTGCACCCGGGGACCACCCCACAGCTCCAGTCGCAGCCAGGCTTCGGGGGTAGCTGTGGATTTTGGGGTCTCTTTGCCCGCCCCACGTTTTCAGGCAGAGCAGCGGGGTTTTGCTGCAGGCACAGGGCACCACCAGCTCTGGCTTCAGCACATTCCTATGGGGAGTTTTGAACTGTTAAAGGTAGAAAACCTGATACACCTCAAAATTACCAATAACGTCACTTCTGGAGCTGCGCAGACTCAAGCACACACTGAATTCGGGTGAACCAGGAGTTACACCAAGGCTCTTTGGGTCCAACGCTTCCTTTGCTCTCCAGAATCGCACCCCAAGAGCCCTGGAGCATCCCCATGAGAGCCGATTTACCCACAACGGGCTTCACCCCGGCCAAGGGTGCAGCCATGCAACGCTGTGCATGGACCCCTTTGCACCACAGCAGTTTAACTACTCCAAAATTTCCCCTCCAATTTATAATTGATCCCCACAGCTTTTTGCTTGTGAGAACCCAGCTACACCCCGATAACTCCAGGACCCTGCTCAGCGGATCCCCTCTTGCAGGGACCTCTCAGTCTGTGCCGGATCTGGGACCAAACCCAGCACTTTATGTATTTTTGTACTATATATTCTATTTACAAACGGCACTGGCTGCACCCGATGTGAACATCCCAACATCCAACCTCACCCTCCCCTGGCACAACTTGAGGCCATTTCCTCTCATCCCATCACTTGTTTTTTGGGGTAGCCCCTCGCCACCCCCTCCTTTCAGGAGCTGCAGAGGGGATAAGGTCTCCCCTCAGCTCCTCTGCTCCAGTTGAACCCCCCAATTCAACTGCTCCCCATCGTTCGGCTGCTCCAGACCCCTCCCCAGCTCCCTTGCCTTTCTCTGCCCACGCTCCAGCCCCTCAATGTCCTTTTTGGGGCCCAAAACGGAACATTTCCCATTTCCATACTCAGATATCCAAATTCATATTTCGGCTGCCATCCCTGCCTGCTGGACTCATCCACAGCCCCTTCTGCACAGCACAAGGACCGGAACCCCAGAATTTGTCCCCAGAGGCAATTCCCAGGCCCCCAGCACCCCCCAGCCCCTTGCACCCCCGTGCAGAAAACCAGGGCGCTCGTGTATGGGCCCAAACACGGATTTAGATGTGGATCTTGGAAAAGCAGGGCTCAGATGGGGCGTTATTAACAGGGCAGCTGGGGCTCTGCGCACAGCATCCGTCACTGCCACGCACCCCAGCACAGGAGCAAGGGCACGGATGGGGAGGAATAACAAACCCTGCCAGCGTGCAAACCCCTTCCCCGAGCAAGTCGCTGCTCTCTCGTTAAATACCACTCATTTATCTCAACGAGGACCGAAGCAGCACCGCGGCGCTCGAGAAGAAACTGCAGCAGCATCGCGTGAGGTACCAAACCCCCCTCCAGCCCCCGTGCGCCAACCTCCTCCTGCAGTCAGTGGGAAACGGGAACAAAAACCGGGTTTATTTGCTGCCAGCCCGTGCCATAACGTGAGCAGAGGCAAAATCAGGGACCGCAAAGCAGCCTCCACCTTATAACCCTGCTTAATTGAAATTAATAATGGTAACGGCCCACTGAGAGCGACTATAATAAATATATATATAATAATTCTATGCAGTTTGAACCCAGAGGAACGGCACCAAGGACACCTCAGACACCCCCGGTCCCGAGGAATACAGCAAAAGTGTGAACCGCAAACGGCATTACAGGGGGAAAAGCTTTCCCTTTGATCTCTCCGACTTGAATTAAGCATATTCTAAATTAAACATATTCTAAATTAATCATTACGAGGATGTCTTTCAGGAAATTATCCGGACTGTCTCTACAAATCACAACTTAAAAGCGCTGTCTCTTGCATAACACCACTCAAATATTCGACGGTTTGATCTCTACATGTTCTTATAAAGTAAGACTCCCATCCGAACTGAGGCGAACAGGGTTCTGAGGTCGCCCTGCTTGGGTACAACCGGAGCCCACCACCGGTACCCGCGCTCGCACACCGGGAACGCCGCACACCGGGCGTTTGCTGCCCAGTGCTGATGGTTGGCAATGGCTTTTCTGCATCTGAAACCTCTGTAACACAGAAAAACCTGAGGAGCTGCCGGCAGGCACAGCATCGTGTCCAGACACGGCCGGTCGCTGTGGGTGTTATCTTCATTAATTCCAATTAAGCTGGCTTGTAAGGTGGAGGATGCTTTGCAGTCCCTAATTTTACCTGGGCTCCTGTTGATTGAGACAGCGACGTGGCCCAAATCCCAGCCCCACGGGTCTGCTGCAGAGCAGGTGAGCTCCTTTGGGCAGGTTTTGGGGATGGATTTGGGGACCAGCGGGATTTGGGAGCCTGCGAGTGCCTCACCATGCTGAGCATCGGTGGCTGTGGAGATTCCAAAAAGTGTAGAGTGCCGAAACCCATCACCATCACCAAAACCCATCACCGAAACCCATCACCATCACCGAAACCCATCACCATCACCAAAACCCATCACCATCACCGAAACCCATCACCATCACCAAAACCCATCACCATCACCGAAACCCATCACCATCACCAAAACCCATCACCATCACCGAAACCCATCACCATCACCAAAACCCATCACCACGAAGGCGTTTGCACGACACGTGGTGAAGTGGAGACGCGGCTCCTGCAGGGAGATGGGAGCCGCCAGCGCTATCAAACAGAAGCATCCCATTTTTTAAACTTTAAGAAGATTAAACTAACCCCGCATCCTCAGCTTTTCTAAGCTTCTCAGGCAAAATTAGGGTCAGCCACAGCTAAAAAAAAATATATATGTATATGTAAAAATAGCAGCTGATCTGCAGATGAATGGGGCAGGAGCCGAGCGCGGCAGCTCCCCAGCACCATGGCCGTGTGCTCTGGAGCAATGAACTCATGGCAAGGGACAGACTTGCACCGCAGGATGAGACCCGGGTCTGTCCCAAAGCCTCGCTTGTGGGGACGGGTAGCACAGCCAATTTTTAACCCATTCACCACGTGCACCAATGGTTTTGTTTCACTCCAGCTTCTTATTTGGGTATGGCACAGCACCGAGGCCAAACCAGCCCAAGCACCACTGCCACCCAAGCCATGACATCCAGGAGCAGCAAGGGCAGTTTGGACAATGATGCTGAGCACAACCGACCCCTTCCCACAGCCGGGTCCTGCCAATGGGGATGGGGCCAGCACAACGGTGTCTGGTGGGAAACCCCAACCATGGCTCTTGCAGGGAGGAGGTGAGAGCTGGGCACCACATCCTCGCTTGAGCATCATAGGCATCCCCCAAAAAACCTCACGGCTTCTGACCCTGCAGGGGTCCTGGGAAGGTCCTGCCTGGGTGTTTGGGGGAGTCCAAACTTCCCTCCCCTACCCTAATTCTGCATTTCCATCCCTATTGGCCACCTCCCCTCCATTGCACCCAGCACCGGCAGTGGCTCAGGGCAGAAAGGGGGCTCAGAGCCCTCCACATCCCACCCAACCAGGCACAAGTTTGGAGCGGCAGCGACGCTCGACCCCCCAGGCTGTGCAGCAGATTAAGCCCAGGATTTAGGGAAGAAATAGCAGCGGCCGAAAGCGGCTCCTTTCTGAGCTGCTGGGTTTGGAAATCTCCTTGAGGGGCCGGCCACCCCTCCCCGCTGCCTCAGCTTAGGGGAAGATTATTTCTTAAAGGAAACTGTCAGGAGAAGTCTATTTTACAAAGTGAAGTTTAAGCTTAAGTCTCTTGGGCAGCAACATCTGAGCCGGCCGAGATCAAAGGCCCACGCGCTCCCGCTGCCGACACGAGGAGATTTTCGCGAGCAATTTGATGGCAATAGCGTGGTTTCAATGCCTCAATTTTGCAAAATTCGGCACCGCGCCGCGCGAGCCCGGGGTGCGTGATCCCGTGGACAGAGTTAACGTTGGCTTTGCAGGCGGGAGAATTCCTGCAGACTGACAGCCCTGAGCCCCTGCATCAGCCGGCGTCTCATCCGAGCTGCGGGACAGGGGCACAAATACCCCAAAATGCTCATTTCCAGACGGGGAAGAAGCAGCTCAGAAATCCGTGGTGATGCCTGGAGCGGAGCACTCGAGCCGCGGGGGGGGTGCGTTACCTGCAGGGACCCCTCTGTGTCTATGGGCCCCCAAAGAGGGGCTTGCAGGGGGCAGGAGGAGCCCCTCTTCAGGGGTCCCCACTGATGCCAGCCGAGTGTCCCCAAGGGGTTACCAAGGGGACCTTGTCCTGTTTTCGCTGGGATAAAGTCACAGATCCAGATTTCTGTTCAGGAAAGTGCATTTCTGCACAGCCTGAGCATTGATTTAGTGTGAACAGAGCTGGTCAGACACTGGGGTCAGTTTTGGGCAGCCCTGGTTGCAGGGATCAAGGGTTTCAGTTTGGGTCACTCAGAGGCAGAAGCTGGGGCAGTGAAAGCCAGAATTATCCAATGGAATTATCCATCCCATGGACGTCCCGGCCACTGGAAATGGGGACGTTAATGGGGGTGACCCTCTCGCTTCCCTCAATGGTTGGTACCCCTGGAGAGCCTCACCCACCGTTCTGCTGCCCCACACGTTACCACCACTGAGCAAACTTTGTGTTTTGTATTCATTTGGATGGAGGGGTGAGAAACCCCCTGAAACCGCAGCCCCCCAGGATTCACTGCCGAAGCCCACCCTGCCCACCCAAGGGG